TTTTTAAATATATATATATATATTTTATTGATTTTACACAGAGAGGAAGAGAGAGGGATAGAGTTAGAAATGTCGATGAGAGAGAAACATCGACCAGCTGCCTCTTGCACACCCCCCACTGGGGATGTGCCCGCAACCAAGGTACGTGCCCTTGACTGATTTCGAACCTGGGACCTTTCAGTCCACAGTCCGACACTCTATCCACTGAGCCAAACTGGTTTTGGCTCTTGGAGATATTTTAGTTTTAAATCTAATTAATCCTAATTAATGCTAAGAAGATACATTGAAATTAATTCCATTTTAGAAAGACATTCTAATCAAAAGCTTGGGGGGGAAATGTAATTATTAAATTTAAGAGGGTATCATAAAACCTTGAAAATATTTTAGATGACCTTCCTATTCCATCAATATTAAGATGTCTTAATTTTTCTCAGCAAACACTTCCCACTGACATGGGGTTGACAAAGACCCTAGAGTGTGAAATGGGCAAGCAGCTCACAATGTCCAGACAAATGCTTAGCTTCCTCTGGTTCTGTTTTTGGTGTTTGCATTCCCAATTTTGCATTAAGTCAGCCCCCGAAGCAGAGCAAGAGATCATTTGGGGGGAGGGGGGAATAAATAAAATGATGTCGCTCTGCTTGAAAGGTGGAAAGAAACAGATGAGTACTGTGAGACGAAACTCAAGGAACAGTGAAGGGGCCTTTCCATCCTTCCCTCTCTCTCTTTGCTCTCACTCAGAATGTACCCTAGGACAAGCAGCCATCTTTCAAACCCTCCTGTGTGCCAATAGTGGTTCCAGTTCTCTTTGCTTCTGGAAGCCTAACAGCTGACATAACCTGCTGCCCAGTGATCATTACCACCATTACAATTTTTAAATTAAATTTATGGGGGTGACATTGGCTAACAGGATCATATAGGCTTCAGGTGTGGATTTCTATATTACATATAGAATATATCTATATAAGATAAATCATCTTCTGTCACCATATATTAGGTCTCCTTCACTCCTACCCCAACCCCTTTCTCTCTGGCAACCACCACACTGCTGTTGTGTCCACGAATTTGTTTTATATCCCACATATGAGTGAAATTATATGGTTTTTAACATTTTCTGCCTGACTTATTTCACTTAGCATAATATTCTCAAGGTCCATTCATACTGCAAATGGTAGTATTTCGTCTTTTCTAGTGGCTGAGTAGTATTCCATTGTGTATATGCACATCATCTTTATCCAATCTTTTACCATTGTTACATTTGAATAGCATTTATTATTACAATAACATGTCTTTTTAAGATAAATATTTGAGATTTCTACCCACATGAAATTTGAAAGAATCTGAATTAAGGAAAAAAGGTTGAGTTATAAAAACCCCATTAAAGCTTATTTACTACACTAGAATAATGAAGATGCAACTGCATTTCTAGGTAAATCAAATCCTCTTCTTTATTATGCAAATTTCAAGTTTAAGATTAGATTAAATGTGGATACTGATCTCAATAATTTGGGCTAAACGTTACTCATTGGGGAGCTATAGCATCTATCTGCCTAGGCTATTGCTCAGCCCATGCTGTGTAAGATAACATCTGTGACAATGCAGGACGCCAGCAGGACGCTGCCAGAATCTTCTCTCTAGCAAATACAGTGTGTGGTTTGTCCTTACATACACATGAATGATGTGGACAACCACAGGCTTTTTTTGTCAACTGCTGGGTAAGCTTGCCCTGGGACAGCAGGAGTTCTGGACAGTGCCTGGCTAAAGGTCAATTCTCAGGAAGATAGAAGATGAGTGAGGGGCAGCAGCCCCACCCAAAGTGACTGGTATTGGCCAGCACACATCGACTTCCATTTCTTCATCCATAAATGGAGAAAATAAATTCTGTCTTCCTCTATGGGTATTTGTATTAAATAAAATGAAGCCTACCAAACATGGGGTTTAACTGTCAAACCAGCACATAGTAGGTGCTCAATAAATGCTAATTAGTCATTGTTGTAATCCACTCCAGTATATAGGACCAAGATCAATTGCTGTTTTTGCCTATTTAAATATCTGAAGCTCTAAAAGCAGTTATTTGCTATTTGGGGTTTCAAAAACAAATAAGTGTTACAAGTTCTTGGGGGAGCACCTCATGCTATGTGCTTTATTCCAGGGTATATTTGGGCCCAATACTTAATACTCATTTCTCTCCCGTTATCAGGCCAAATATAGCAGCTCTTCTTCCAAATTGATACTGCTGCATTACTTTCAGAAAGATTACATCTTATCAGCTTCCTTTCCTTCTCAGAAATTCTGCCCTTCCATAAGACCTCAAAGCATGTACAGTACACTTTCCATAGCTGAATGTCTCATAATTGCTTGACAATTGGTGACGAAGGCAGACTGTGTCTAGTGCCGTCCTTCCAGTGAGAGAGCGAGCTGATGAGATTATTTGATTTCCCATAAGGAGATCCCCTTTGCTTTCTGTCCTTTGCTTCAAGTTTCTGGGGTTTGCATCATTAGACCACTGGCTTTGCCAATGCCTTCTCCAGCACTAATTCAAAGAAGGTGAGGGCTCCTGGAGTGTCCTCCCTGAGCATGTGCAAGGGAGGCAAATGCAGAGCCAGGCAGCACCAGCTTCTGGGCGAGGGGTAGAGAATTCTTGCCTGGAACAGGGGACCCTCAAAACTCAGGGTCAGAGAATGAAGTCCTAAATGGAAGCAGTGTCTCCCTTCTCCCTCAGAATTTATCTTATAGAAATACACATGTCCAGTAATACACAAGGGACATGGTCACATGAATACTGTATACCAATGTTCATGACAGCATGATTCACAATAGCCCCAAAGTACAAACAACCCACATGTCCATCAGCTGATGAAACAAGATGTGGTCCATTCATACACTGGAGTATTACTCAGCCATGAAAAGGAGTGAAGCTCTGACACTCATTACAACATGGATAAACCCTGAAAACATGACATTCAGTGAGAGAAGCCTGACAAAAAAGGCCACACATGCCAAAACCGGTTTGGCTCAGTAGTAGAGCATCAGTCTGCGGACTGAAGGGTCCCAGGTTCGATTCCGGTCAAGGGCATGTACATTGGTTGCAGGCACATTCCCGGTAGGGGGTGTGCAAGAGGCAGCTGGTCGATGTTTCTCTCTCATCGATGTTTCTAGCTCTCTATCTCTCTCCCTTCCTCTCTGTAAAAAATCAATAAAAATATTTTTTTAAAAAGTAATTCCATTTATGTGAAATGTCCAGAACAGGCAAATCCACAAAGACAGAAACCAGATTAGTGGTTGCCAGGAGCTGAAGAAGGGAGATAGGGAGTGAATGTTAGTGGAGATAATGTTAGTGGAGATGATGAGATTTCTTTTTGGGGTGGTGTGATGTTCTGGAATTAAGAAGTGATGGCTGCACAACTCTGTGGATATACTAAAAACTACTGGACTGTATACCTTATATGGGTCAACTTCATGGTACATGAAATATATCTCAATAAAATTGTAAAAAATCTAATGTATGTGAACAACATGTCTCTGGTAGCATTATTATAAGTCACCAAAAAGTAGAAACAATTTAAATGTTTATCAATAGAAAAATTATTAAATAAATAATGATACATCCCTGCTGTATACTTTAATACCATTAAAAAGTATGAGGTATATGCTCCAGTTTGGCTCAGTGGATACAGCATTGCCCTGCGGACTGAATGGTCCCAGGTTTGACACAGTCAAGGGCATGTACCTTGGTTGCAGGCTCGATCCCTGGCCCTGTCAGGGCGCATGCGGTTGATGTAGACACATCAATGTTTCTCTCTGCCTCTCCCGTTTCATTACACCCTTTCTGAAAATCAGTGGGAAAATATCCTCCCTTGAGGATTAACAACAACAAAAGAATGAGGTACGTTCTCCAAGATATGCAGTGCCTGCCACACAGCAGGTTCTCAAATATTTGTAGAATCTATGCATGTGTGTAAACGTATACCCCAAAAGGTGAACATGAATGTATGTAAACTTAAACTAGAAACAAACAAGAATGGAACAAAGTGAATTTACTGAGTGCCAGGCACTAATGTAGGCTCTGAACATTCAAAGATAAGTCAGATAAAAACCCTGCTGTGGGGAAGCTGACATGCTTATTCAGGGGAGTCAGACAAAAGACAAGACACCAGATATACAAGGTGATTGTAGAGAGATCGGGGCTGGGACAAAAGAAGACAGCAGAGGAACAGAACTGAGACAGTGGTGGGGAGGGGCTCCCAACCTCTCAATATGCTGGCTGGACCTGTCCTGAGCAGAAGCCAATCTGGGTAGATGTGAGAGAGAACATTCCAGGTACAGGGAATAGTAGGTGCAAAGGCCCTGGGGCAGGGAAGCAGGCTGTCCAGAGAGGTCAGCAGACATCCTGAGGGCATGGCCACAAGTCTGGATTTTATTACACTTCCTGAGAGAAGCCCAGGGTGAAGATACAATATGGTCTTACTTATGTTTTTAAAACAGCATACATTTTAGAGAATTAGAAAAAATGAAAACAGGAAAACCAGGGAGGAAGTTCCCTGGCATGTACTATGTTATGATTTTAATAATGATTAATACTTCTTAGGTTCTTAGTTGAGCTTCTTAAGACATATATGGCAGCTGGGCAGAAAATACATCATTTTACAAAAGAAGCCTAGTCAAGTCAGCCCAGTAAATGAAGGGCTAAATAATTAAGCATTTAATTAATAGAAAAGTTAATGATGGCTTCTACAATTTTGAAGCAGGTAATTATATACTCAGTCAATCATCATAGCCCAAGAGCATCAATGTGCTTTTCAATTCAGTGTGAACTGTCCCTATTGACTTATAAAGGCCATTATCTAAAAATTAAATAATTTATGAGTGTATACTCATTTTTTTAAAGGCACATAAAAAAGTTGACAGAGGAAATAGATCTGTAATTTGGTTATAGTTATTTGCTCTTAGGGACTAATATAGTAAATTGATTTCAATCGGGTTGGCAAAATTTTTCCTTAAAGGGCCAGAGTGTTTTTTGCTCCATGGGCCATAGGATTATCTGTCACTATTTCTAGAAAGTCACCATAGACAGTAAGTAAGAAATGAGTGTGGCTGCCTTCATGCCCTTTGGAACACTACTAAAGCCTGAGGCAACAGGGGGGGGAGGGCTTTGTCTTTATTTAAAATTTTTATATTTTGCTCACTGTGGATATCTTGATTTTTAAAAATACTGCATTTAAAATATTTTTTATCTTGATGACTTGAGTTTTTTGGCACCACCTACCCCTTAAATTTGTGTCCAAGATGAATGCCCACTTGACTTGTCTTACCCTAGTCCCAGCCCTGGAGCTGTCCAATAAAACTTTATGGACTTTGAATTTTTATTTTCATATAATTTTTATGCATCATAAAACATTCTTTTGTTTTTTCCCCCCAACCATTTGAAAATGCAAAAAATATTTTCAGTGTGAGGCTTACACAAAAACAGGCATCGTGCCAGATTAGGCCCCAGGGTTAGTTTGCTGACTCTGTGTTAGATGGTCATTTAAAAAGCATTTCTTAGTTGTATTCACATTCACAGAAAAACAACTGCTATTTAGTGTTTTTTGTTGATTACCCAGAGGACTATCAAAGGACTCTGAATAAATTAGTCCTATTGTCTCCTTTCTGAAATCCCTGCCAAGGTTGTTTCTCATTCTTTGCTCACCCCCAGGTCCCCAAATGCACCAGCACACATGTCCAGAGCATGACTATGTACAAGATAGATTTTTAGGGTCTTCACTAGATCTGTGATCCTATGATTCAGCAGGAGAAGTGGGACTTAGCAGATGGAAACTAAGAAAAACACACCTCTTTAATGTAACACTGGGAAATAGAATCTGAGATATTTATTAGTTATTTTTAATTGTGGTAAAATATATATAACAAAAATTTATCACTTTAACCATTTTTAAGTGTACAGTTCAACTGCATTAAGTACAGTCACATTGTTAGACAAACATCACTCCCATTCATTTCCAAAACTTTTTTCATCTTGCAAAAGTAAAACTCTGTATGCACTGAATATCCTACTCAATAGCCCTTGGCACCCATTCTACTTTGTCTCTGAATTTGACTCCTCTAAGAACCTTCTGTGAGTGGAGTCATACAATACTCATCCTTTTGTGACTGGATTACTTCACTAACAAGGTTCAATCATGTTGTAGCAGTTGTCAGAATTTCCTTCCTTTTCAAGGATGAATAATATTCCATTGTGTGGATGGACCACATTGTGTTAGTGGTGTTTATCCATAATCTACACTAATAAAAGAGAAATACACAAATTGACTCTCACTTCATAACACCCACCAGCCAATCAGGAGTGAGTATGCAAATTAACCTGACAAATATTGTGGTGCCCTCCTCCCCCAGCTGCTCTGGGCCTCTAGCCAGCATGCATACAGGTGTGGAGCAGACAGGCGGGGCAAGACACCTGCTATGCAGGAGGCAGGCAGGGGGGTGGAGGGAGCTACAGGAGCCGAGACTGAGGGTGGTGGCCAGAGCGAAGGCCTGGGTCCCAGGTGCTGGAGGAAAACCAGTGCTGGCCTATTGCACGAAGGAAGGCCTGTTGCACAAATCTTCATGCAGCAGGCCTCTAGTCCATCAATGAACACTTGGATTGATTCCACCTTTTGGGTAATATGAATAATGCTGTTCCAAACATGGGTGTGCAGAGATCTGTTTAAGAATCTAAGTCAGTGGTAGGCAAACTCATTAGTCAACAGAGCCAAATATCAACAGTACAACGACTGAAATTTCTTTTGAGAGCCAAATTTTTTTTTATTTTAATATATTTTATTGATTTTTATACAGAGAGAAAGGAAGAGAGATAGAGAGTTAGAAACATCGATGAGAGAGAGTCATCGATCAGCTGCCTCTTGCACACCCCCTACTGGGGATATGCCCGCAACCAAGGTACATGCCCTTGACCGGAATCGAACCCGGGACCCTTCAGTCCCCAAGCCGACGCTCTACCCATTGAGCCAAACCGGTCCCGGCGAGAGCCAAATTTTTAAAACTTAAACTTCTTCTAACACCACTTCTTCAAAATAGACTCACCCAGGCCATGGTGTTTTGTGGAAGAGCCACACTCAGGGAGCCAAAGAGCTGCATGTGGCTCATGGGCCACAGTTTGCCAAGCGCAGCTCTAAGTATCTATCCAGAAGTGAGACTTCAGGATGATATAGTAGTTTTATATATATTTTGAGGAACCGCCATACTGTTTTCTACAGAAGCTGCACCATTTTACTTGCCCACCAGCCATGCACAAGGGTTTTAACTTCTACACATTGTCACCATCATATTATTTTTTCTGCTTTTTAAAATAAGTCATCTAATTATGTAAAACTGGCATTTCATTGTGATTTTTTTCATTTTAATGATTAGTGATTTTGAGCTCCTTTTCATGTACTTATTGACTATTTGTATTTTCTTTGAAGAAGTATCTAGTCAAATATTTGTCTATTTCTTAATCAAGTTATTTGTTTGTTTTTTTTATGTTGAATTGTAGGTGATCTTTATATAGTCTGAATATTAATCCTCAATTAGACATATGATTTGCAAACATTGTTTCCCATTCCATGGGTTGCTTTTACTCTGTTGATAGTGTCTTGTGATGGATAAAAGTTTTTAATTTTCATTAAGTCAAATTTATTTTTTCCTTTTGTTGTCTCTGCCTTTGGTGTTATATCCAAGGAATCACTGCTGAATCCAATGTCATGAAGATCCTCCCCTCCCCCAGGTTTTCTTCTATGAATTTTATAGTTTTAGCTCTTACACTGAGGTCTTTGATGCATTTTGAGTTAGTCTTTTTATATGGTGTAAGTCAAGGGTCCAACTTCATATTACTGTATTTGGATATGCAGTTTTCCAACATCATTTGTTGAAAAGACTGTCCTTTCCCCCACTGAATGGTCTTGGTACCCTTAAAGTAAAATATTATAAACAAGTAAATAAGTTAAGCAACAAAACACAAAGATCTACTCTTGCCAGAGAGAGCACCTGAAAAGTGAATTTGTAAAAGAAGCTGACATACATTCTAGAGAATACTCAGAAGGTGGTAGTTTGCCTAATCAAATGACTAAAGCAGGATCCTATAATTGGGTCCATGGATTCATGAGGGTGTGCTTCAGGGAGCCCATGAACCTGAACTTGAACATGAAATGTAAGTGGGATGATATACACATGTCTATGCCTGTTTTTCTGGGGGAAAAATTCCCAACGTTCATCAAACTTTGAAAACAGTCCTGAAGAAAGATTAAAAACTACTGGTGAGCTGAAGCCAGTTTGGCTCAGTGGATAGAGCATCGGCCTGCGGACTGAAAGGTCCCAGATTTGATTCCGGTCAAGGACATGTACATTGGTTGCGGGCACATCCTCAGTAGGGGATGTGCAAGAGGCAGCTAATCGATGATTCTCTCTCATCGATGTTTCTAACTCTCTGTCCCTCTCTCTTCCTCTCTGTAAAATATCAATAAAAATAAAAATAAAATAAAAAGAACTACTGGTGATATATGTTTTTTTATGGCATTTTTGGAGGGTGGGGAGTCTGCTTTTAACTTAAGTTCATGAGTTCAAGAATTCCAGTTTTTAAATGTTTTTATTTAAAAAAAAATTTATAGAGAGAGGAAGGGAGAGGAAGAGAGAGAGAGAAAAAAATCAATGTTGAGAAACATCTATCAGTTGCCTCCAGTGTGTACCCCCACTGGGAACCGAACCTGCAATCTGGGTATGTGCCTTGATCAGGAATCGAACTGGTGATCTTTCAATGATTTCAAAGTCAACCAACTGAGCAATACCAGCCATGGCAAGAATACCAGTTTTAGATGAGACTCATTGTATAATGCAGGCAGCTCAGTAGTCTTTAGAAGTAAGTGACACAATTAATTTACTTTCTAGAGGAGGGGCAAATTGGTGTCAGTGGGTCCCCAATCACATATGGAGATGTAACCAGGTGAGACAGTCACAGGAGATATGCCCGTCTTTAGTAGGAAGCCACAGTCTGAAGGCAGCTAGACTTCTTTCCCACACTCTATATTTAGGAATTTCAACAGTTCAGGAAGGGATCATGCTGATAGTTAGCTGTATCTTCACTGACCACCTTGGCAACACCTAACACACAGGCCACCAAGCAGAGGAACTGCCACAGATTTGAGGAACCCTGAAACAGAATTGTCTGCCAGTGGGGAATAAAAAAGAGAAAGGAGAAGTCATGGTCTTTTCTAGGGTTTATCCTAAACTTTACCAAGGATGCAAACTTAATTTGCCATCTTTGTTAGACAACATTGATAACTCCCATGTCAAGAGGGTTAAGATGAATCATTCTTATATTCTTATCCCAGAGGACCATACCAAGACATATCATAATTAAAATGCCAAGAGCAAAAGACAAAGAGAGAATATTAAAAGCAGCAAGAGAAAAACAGTTACCTACAAGGGAGCACCCATACAACTGTTAGCTGATTTCTCAACAGAAACTTCAGGCCAGATGGGAGTGGCAAGAAATATTCAAAGTGATGAATAGCAAAAACCTACAACCAAGATTACTCTACCCAGAAAAGCTATCATTCAGAATTCAAGGTCAGATAAAGAGCTTCACAGATAAGAAAAAGCTAAAGGAGTTCATTACTGTCAAGCCAGTATTATATGAAATGCTGAAAGGTATTCTTTAAGAAGAGGAAGAAGAATAAAAAAGTAAAGATAAAAATTATAAACAACAAATACATATCTATCAACAAGTGAATCTAAATATCAAGTGAAGAAAAAATCTGGTGAACAGAATAATCTGGTGAATATAATAGAATCAGGGGCATAGAAAGGTAGTGGACTGACAATCCTGGGGGGGGAGGGGAAGCGGTGTGGGGGTGTGGGAAGAGACTGGACAAATATCATACACCTATGGATGAGGACAGTGGGGGGGGGGGTATGGACATGGGGTGGGATGGGAACTGGGTGGAGGGGAACTATGTGTGTGTGGGGGAACAACTGTA